GGCTCCTTTCTTTGGCGACTGATTTTCTCTCCGACGGGAGGCGAGCGGCTAGGGTTTGGTTCAGTGTGATGCGAAATATTTATACCAGTCTTGCGTAATCTGAACTGTTCATCGCAATTTGATCTCAACTATTCGATCGTATTTAACAAATGAACAAATATGGACTGTTCATTGCGTTTGATCGCGACCGTCTGATCGTTCTTGAGGAGGGAACGGATCTGGATAGTCCATGCGCGAAGGAACACTTCCGGGTCGTTCGATCGCGGGGCACGCAGATCGCCAACGTAGCCTTCTGCGTGGCACCGAGTCAGCGTGCCTTGCCACGCGGCGCGCTTCGATTCGTTGAGATTGCTGACTGGGCGGTCATACGTGGTAAAATTTTTCTTAATTGTATTCTACCCATTTGTTTTCGATTTTTTTTTTTAAAAAAACATTATCCGAACCCAAATTTTCACATATTTTTTTTCAAAATTATTTTTCAATTTCATATTTAACCTATTTTTTTTCTCCATAATTTCACATTAAATTAAAATTTATTAATTTTAAAAATAAATTTTTATACATTTTTTTACTGTTGAAATTAATATCGGACCAAATTCTGGAACCGGATATTATATTTTGTATACAAAAATAGAAGTAGTAAATAATTGTTTCTAAAAATTCAACTTAAATCTTAAAAAATAATAATTGAATTGTTAATATTAACAAATAACAATTGAATTGTCAGCATCAATAAATTTAAAATAGAGTAACTAATAATTATTTAAATGCAATGATAAGTATATAAAAATAAATATAACACATATATGTACAATAACTATGTCTATCAACTACGTATGTGCATTACTCTTTTAATTTTTACAAATAATTGAATCCATAAAAAAGAGGTCATAAATTATAAAATAACTTATTTATAATAATAATGAATGCATGAAAATTTATTAAATACTTAAAAAAAATATAAATAGATTTGAAGAATTCATACGTATCCTTCTTTTTAGTGGTATAATTTAATTAATTAACTTTATGTATCAAAGCATACTAACCTACTTTTACCCACAATAATCACTTATATCTTGAAATAAAAGTCACTAATATAAATTTTTAAGCTCGTATATAAAATTTAATAGTGAAATTTCTTAATCATTTATATACTGTAATTAATCTTAATATAATCATGGAGAAGTTAAAAAAAAAAAAAAACCCAGTAATTATTAAACAAGACTTGAAAGCACTAATGTTCAAATAAGTACAAACAAATGAAGACAACAAACACGTTATACACAGAGTCATATATGTATATGTGTATATATATATATATATATATATGCGGAAAGGCATGAATAATGTTTTAATATATTTAATAGAGCCTAGTAGTAATCTGTCTCTGTCAACAAAGGCAATAAAATGTTACGATTATTGAGACATCATATTCTCTGGTATATCAAAATCCAAACTCATTAAAAATATTAACCTTGGAATTAGTCTGATCTCTTCTCCTTTAAATCCGTAATCATGCTTAAATTTAATCTTATCATTAATTAAATTAATAAGATGTTCCGTGCTTCCCTTGATGAAGCATTATAAATAATTAATTATATTTTTACTCATTTGTTTATTATCTTTACAAATACCACTTCAATCTCTCTATAAAAAATTGTATTTATACACTTTTTCAATAAAAAAATTGCCTTACCATGAATGTGTATTAATCATGGAATGAATGGATATATATATTGCTTTTTCAATTAGAAAATCAATTTGATTATTTTGGAAAATTTATAACAAGATTGATTTATCGAAATAAATATATTATTGTTTTATTTTTTAAATATAATTTTATCAAATATAAATATTTTAATAATATTATATAAAATACTTTACAAAAATAACATGTTAATTTTATTTACACCAATTTTTAAAAGACAAACTTCAATTTTCTTTTTTTTTTTTTTAAACTCATAATACCATCAAACAAAATTATAAGCTTGTCAATAGTTTATTCAACAAATAAGTCTAAAATATTTAATTACTCATAAAAAAGTTAAGATATTTTTTAAAAATAAAAATTTATAAACCTACAAATACAAAATGATTACAACAACAATTATTGATTTTCTTTAAAAAAAAAAAAAAAAAAATTTGTTAGGAGTGTATAAATTATTTTATAAACTTTTGTTTTTTTTGATTTCCAAGTGTGTATAAATTAAAATCTCCTTTGCTTAAAAAAAAAATAGGATTTAATTTTATATAGTTGTATTATTCATTTGGTTTTCAAAGAATGTGGGGGTTGTTATATATAGAGTGGGGGTGATTGGATATGAGCACTCAAGAATGTCGATGTAACACGGCATCGAAGATGGTACAAGAATTGTGAACCCCCACACCCACATACATATACACACACACACACAAAACACAAACACAAACACAAACACAAATATATATATATAAATCCAAATGGGAGATCAAATTGAGATTTACATGTTGAAAAAACGGTGACATTCACAATCCAAATCTCTCCCTCTTGCCTTTTCCCCTCATTTCTCTCCATATATTTTTTGTAAAATCAAATTGAGTAGTATAGTTGTGACATTGCATTTGAGATTTGATAGGATAAATCTGGTTCATGAGTCATGGACATATACATATAAATGATAATAAAACATATTATAAGTCAATTTTTTTTTTTTTTTGTAAAATCAACAATTCATATCGTCTTGAAACAATTACAATGTATGTAACAAACCCACAAAAATGCATGCATGTCTTGTGGGACCTCCCATCTTCATTTCATTTTTTTGCCTCTTCAATTCTTAGATTAGTATGCAATTTTGAATTATTATTTTTTATTTTAAATAAGTAAACAAAAAATGTTTAATTGCATTTCAAAAATCATGAAAAGCCCAATTCATTTTCACATCCTCATACTAATAATAATAATAATTCATTTAAGTTATGAAGTGAAAATATATATTTTATACTTTTTTACAATTTTAATATGATTAGAAGTTGAGAATGAGCACATCAAAAAGTCAAGGGTTGGAATTGGGAGGCTAAGTGGGCCGGGCCCATATAATATAATATGGCCCAAACTCAAGTACTCCAATTTTCGGCCCAATCACGATTGCTTTTTTTTTTTTTTTTTTTTTTTCTAAAAAATACTTAATCCAGAAGCCACCATATCCTAACGAAAACGCTCGCCCCAAGAAAAAAGGCACAAACTTCAAAACCATCTCCCTCTGATTCGTACTACCTACGTCACAAATCACATTATCACTCGCATTCCCCGTTCCGATAATACTCTCTCTGCATATCCTATCTTATATACTTATCATCTACCCAAAAGTTATATATATATAAAAACTACACCGCACTCAGATATATTATATATATATATGTGTGTGTGTGTGTGTGTGTATCTAAACAGCTGCATTGCCAAGTGTTTTGGGTCGTTCAAAAGAAGGCAAAAATGGAGGTTGGAAGCTCTGTGCATACAAAAATGATGTCCAGAAAGAATAATCTCAGCTTGTACGATGTTCCAGATGGAGTTGATATTCGTGGTCGATTCGATCCGGAGTTTGCCAAGATCCTTACCATTGATGCTCTGCAATTCGTTGCGGATTTACAGATGGAATTCAGGAACCAAATCAAGTATGCAATGGAGTGTCGCAGGGAGGCCAAGAAGAAGTACAACGAAGGTGCAGTTCCAGGGTTTGATCCAGCCACAAGGTATATCAGGGAACGAGAATGGGTTTGTGCTCCAGTTCCACCTGCTGTTGCTGATCGAAAAGTGGAGATTACAGGCCCTACCGAAAGGAAAATGGTCATCAATGCACTCAATTCTGGAGCTAAAGTTTTCATGGTGAGCAACCATACATTTTCTTCACACCCAGAACTATATATGTGTATATGTATATATCCATGTGTTATTGTTAATTCTGTGTAGGCGGATTTCGAGGATGCACTCTCACCAACTTGGGAGAACTTGATTAGGGGACAAATTAATTTAAAGGATGCTGTTGATGGGAGTATAACCTTCCACGATAAAGCTAGAAACAGAATATACAAGCTGAATGATCAGACGGCAAAGCTATTTGTTCGTCCTCGAGGTTGGCATCTTCCTGAGTATCATATTCTCATTGATGGTGAACCAGCAACTGGTTGTCTTGTAGATTTTGGCCTTTACTTTTACCACAACTATGCAAAATTCCGGCAGACACAAGGTGCTGGCTATGGACCCTTCTTCTATCTTCCTAAAATGGAGCATTCAAGGTAATAACAATTAGGAGCTAATTTTCATGGTGTTGTAATTCAATATAATGAATTAGTTGATTTGGCAGGGAAGCGAAGATCTGGAATTGTGTGTTTGAGAGAGCAGAAAAGATGGCAGGAATAGAAAGAGGAAGCATCAGAGCCACTGTTCTAATCGAAACATTACCTGCAGTTTTCCAAATGGATGAAATTCTTTACGAGCTAAGAGATCACTCGGTGGGTTTAAACTGTGGAAGATGGGATTATATTTTCAGCTATGTGAAAACTTTTCAGGCTCACCCAGATCGCATTTTGCCAGACAGAGTCCTGGTTGGAATGAACCAACACTTGATGAAAAGTTACTCTGATCTCGTCATCAGAACCTGCCATAGACGCGGTGTTCATGCCATGGGTGGAATGGTATATCATATATATATATATATATATATATATATATAGGTATATACATTGTAATTTATACACAAGAAAAAAAAAAGTATTTAACAGTTATTGAATTACAGGCAGCTCAGATTCCAGTCAGAGACGATCCAGTAGCAAACGAGGCGGCATTAGAGCTAGTGAGCAAGGACAAATTGCGAGAGGTGAAAGCAGGGCATGATGGAACATGGGCAGCTCATCCTGGACTCATCTCAACCTGCTTGCAAACCTTCAATAACCACATGGGTAATGCTCAAAACCAGATCAAAACCATGAAAAGAGAAGATGCAGCAATGTTGACAGAAGAAGATCTTATACAGAGGCCAAGAGGAGTTCGTACAATGGAAGGTCTGCGGCTAAATACCCGTGTGGGAATTCAGTATTTGGCGGCATGGCTGACAGGAACAGGGTCTGTTCCTCTTTACAATCTGATGGAAGATGCAGCAACAGCGGAGATTAGCAGGGTTCAGAATTGGCAGTGGATAAAATATGGAGTGGAATTGGACGGAGATGGATTGGGAGTGAGAGTGAACCTGGAGTTGTTTGGAAGAGTGGTGGAAGAAGAGATGAATAGAATTGAAAGAGAAGTTGGGAAAGAGAAGTTCAAGAGAGGGATGTATAGAGAAGCATGCAAGATTTTCACAAGGCAATGCACGGGTGGTGTGCTTGATGATTTTCTTACATTAGATGCTTATAATCATATTGTTATACATCATCCTAAGGACTTGTCTAGGCTCTGATCGCATGTATCATCACTTTTACTCTTTACCTTTCTTACTTGTTTAAGAGTCTTTCGAGGCTTTTCAGTCACCAGCACTAATAATGAATGAATGAATGAATAAAAAATATGATGTTGCTTTAATTCTATTGCAACACATGTTTCCTTCCTTGGCTCTCACTAACATAAAAAAAGATTTGTAAGTTTGGAAATTATTATGGTTTGGATCCAACATTAAGTGTTTAAAACGAGGAATTGGGTCCACTAAATCCAGATGTCCAACCCATTTAGGTAGAAAATGGGCTTGACAGTTTAAGTCAACAAGGATCCAATTAGTTAGTACTTATGTTTTTTTCTATGTATTAGTTGTTTAATTCAAAATTTTATTCAAATTCAAATAATTTAATTAAAAATTCTTCTCTACCACCTTCTAGTATGCATGTTAGAATAAAACAACATAAATCTAATTACTATATTTGTAGAATTTGACTTTATTTGTTTATTTTATTTTATTTTATTTTAATGAAATTAAGAGTGTCATAATTTTATTCAGATTTTACTAATTACTACTTTTAAAACCTTCAATCTCTCTCTTCCTTGTTAAAAAATCTTCCATCTGTCTCAAGTCATATATAATCCTTGTTTGCTTTCTAAATTACTAGACGTATATCATGTATTAATTAAGCTTTTACATTGAATCAGCTTAATTAAAATTTTAGTTACTTTAGACGATTAATTAATAATAATTTTATAATTACTATTATTGATAAATTTTTACTTAATTCCGTATTTATCCTTCAAAATGCTGTCCAACGCAATGCCACAGTAGCCTAGGTAGATGCCTATAGTATTGTTACAGTGACACGTGTCGCGAACCCAATGCATGATATTCTTTCAGTACATTACCATATCAAGTCATTTAAATAATGGAGGTGGTGCTTAAATTATGGAGGGTGGGGCCCGGTCCAGCTTAATATGGCAACCTAATCCTCTGCGTATTTCAAATTTTTTTTTTTTTTTTTTTTTTTTTATAAAAAAGGTTTAACAGTAATTAGCATGGATAAGACCAATGATTATGTTTTCCTCTATTAGAAACCCATAACATTTTTCCATGATGTTTACGTAAACCCAAATTAATTTCACCATTAGAATATTAATACCATCAAATCACTTGATGCTTAATCTTTGAGAATGGAATTTTACTGATTTTGAAGTTCCTAAATTTGAAATTTTCTCATGTATAATTTTATTTTATTATTAGCAGCATAAGCAATTGTTACATAACAAAACATAAAAAATTAAGAGTAGTGTAAATTCAATAAAAATTTTATTTTTATGTAACTTATAGATTAGATATTGGGTATTTATTACTATCATTTCAATGGTGAAGTTTGGCTACCATTTCTCAATAAAGTTATTCTTATTCTTTTTGTAACAGCCCCAACTTAAAAAAAAAAATAAATTATAAGTTGAATGCGGAAGCGAAATAATAAATTAGGGTNNGTATCGGATTTTTAAATCGACCTATAAAGACAACAACGCAAATAATATCATAATCTCATTTTCAATTGGACAGAACAACAACTTTATTTTTTATTTGCTTACGGTATCTATGGGGGTCCATAGGGATGTTTCTATTATGCGTGAATTCTATTCAATATTTGTTTACTAATCGGCCATCTCCATACCTAGTCCAGTATGAATGCAAAAAATAACATTCCTCAATACCTCGTCCGGTATGAGCGCCAAAATACCAATCCTCGATACCTCGTCCGGTTGAGGCAACATTCACGGTAGGATTTCCTATGTACCTGGTCTGTCCACCATCTCCCAGAATATGCAGTAAGGCTACCATTCATTTATTTACTTAATCAAACAATTTTTCATTTATATTTAATTTTCAGTTTCACAATTTAACTGTAAATAACATAAAACAAGCAATACATGCATCAAGAAAAAATAACTGAATCATCTTACCAACTCCAGTGTATTGTTATGCATTTAAAACTGTAAAATCAATCAATCAATTAAAACAAAACAAACAGTAATAAATAACGGATTCTATCTCCATTATAACTTGTAATTAATTATCGAAGTTTTCTAAATTATGCAAAATACCGTATTATTTATAATTAAACTTCAATTCGATAACAGAGAATAAGGTGAGAGAATCTTACATGAATCGGTATTTGAAATACTAAACTTTCAGCTGCACCTATTGCTGATTCCTGAATTTTTTGAATTTTTCTTCAGAGATTAAAACACGTTTTAAATATCTAAAAATATCCCAAAAATCTAAAATTATTGTTAAAAATATTTTTCGGCCAATTTTGAAATTTTGACATGGCAGCATCGTCATGCTCCAGCGACGACATCGTCGCCCGCGGCAGCATTTTGCCTTGGACTGGCTGTTTTCGGCCAGTTTTGATTGATTTCGGTCATTTTAGGTTGATTTTGATCGATTTTATATTCATCCATGCGAGAAAACACGTTTAGGGGCATCAATTGGCCAAAAAAGTCAAAAAATAAAAACTAACCGGTGATAAAATTTTTCGGTGTGGCGGCTCCGCAGGCTCACCTTCGCGGTTGGGTGTTTTCCTTCGGTCAATCTGTAGAAAACAGAATGGTGATTACAATGGTGAAAAAATCGCACGAAATGGAAATCGTAAAGGGGCTCATCGGAGGCGTTTTTTTATTTTTTCCGCGGCAGCGGCGCGAGACTTTAACCGCAATTTCTGGCTCATTCGTTGATCTTTTTGCTCCAATTTGACTATAAAGGTGTTCAAAATCAAATTTCGAGCGAATAAATTTTTTTTTTACCTTTTTTGATGGTCGGAGATTGCTCCAGCGCGGCGGTGGGTGGTAGTCGGCTCCCTTCTCCGGCGACTGTTCTTATTCTTCGGCAACTGGTTTTTCTTCTCCGATAGGGGGCTTGCGGCGATGGTTAGGGTTCGGTATGAAGTGAGATATTTATACCCGTCTCCCTTTAATATGAGCCGTTCATTGCGTTTGATCTCGATCATCTGATTGCGTTTAAAGAAGAAATGAATATGGACTGTTTATCGCGATTTGATCTGAACAATACGATCGCGTTTAAAGAAATAATGGATCTGGACCGTTTATCGTTTTTAATTGCGACTGTCCGATTGCGCCTGAGAAGGCAACGGATCCGGACCATCCGATCGCAAGCACGTGGATTACTAGTGTGACCTCCCGCATGACATTGAGTCAGCGGGCCTTACCATGCAGCGCGCTCCAATTCATCGGGGCTGCTGACTGAGCGGTTATACGTGACATATTTTTTTAAAATTGTATTTTGATTCTCAATTTTCGATTTTTTTTTCAAAAATACTAACCGAACTCAAATTTTTACCCATTTTTTTTAAAATTATTTTTAATTTCATACTTCACCTATTTTTTTTTCTAATTTTTAACTTAAATAAAAATTTATAAATTTAAAAATTATATTTTTATATATTAATTTTAATTTTTAAAATTAATCTCAGGCCAAATTTAGAGTCCGAGTATTACACTTTTAATTTATCTACTATATTAGCATAATTTTATAAAAATATTCTAATTTAATTAATAATTTTTTTTTAAATTTCAAAAATTAAAATTATGATGTATAATTTCATTCTTCAAGGAACAAGCATATTTAATTAACAAGGAAATCGTAGATCAACTATTTTGACTAACAAATGAAAGAAGCTCCTAACATATGCAGTTTGTCGGCCAATAATGAAGATCGCGCCTGTCACGCACGATATCACTTTAATTTCTTAATTAAATACTAATAAATACCTAATTATTTATAATTATGTCCGGCCAAATTTAATTTGTGACCTAAATGTAAATGGTTGTTATGTTCAGCCAGATCACTATAATTATATAATATATATATATATATACACGAGATAATGTGTACTTATGGTATATTAAAATATGAGATATTTGGTAGTAATTAAGATAATTATTAGAATTAATATGTTTTTAATTTATGTGATACATTTTTATTTATAAAAATCATATGTTTTTATTTATGATTGTTAATATACACATCGTAGATAATAATATTTAACAACTAAATAGTAAATATGTATTAAAATATATTCAATATCATACAATAGTGAGTTAGTAATTAAATACGTGTGTGAGTGTGTGTGTATATTATATATATATATATATATATACACACACATAAGAAATATAGGAAGCTCTTTACAAAGACATATTTTTTTAGAAATTACTTGAAGTTACTCTTGTTGCAAAAAATTATTCAATCATTTAAATTACATGTTTATATGTAGAATGTGAATTTTCTTATAATACATATACATCATATATGTTTTAGCATTTGAAATTGATTTTTTCTATTTATTCCTTACATGTACATTCATGCTTATTTCTAAATAAATAAAAATAATTTTAAAATAATTTTGAGTATATATATATATATATATATATATATTAGTCTCTGTGAATGCCTATTTTCTTCTTCAAATATAAATTATTTTGAGTATATAATATTTTGTTATGATCTCTTTGTATGCAAATTATTTGAAAACTTTCTCAACTATTTTTTAAGCACTAACAAATCTTAAGATAATTATAATATATATAGGTGATCGAGTTATATGCTTCATATCCAATAAACACCAAAGTTTAATATGCAAATGTTCACTTTGTGTTAATTCATAATATAGCACACTCACATAAGAAGTATTTAAAAATTTTAGAGGCTATTATTAAGTTGTATTTTAAAAATAATTATACTTTCTCTAACAAACGTCCTCCCTTCCTCTTAGTAATTTAGTAGCATCTTTATATCTCAATCTAATTATTGCCAGGGAGAATGATAACTTCTTGCAAGAAATAGAAATATACAAAACTCTTTATATTAGTGCTTTTATTGAATCCTCTCGACCATATGAGATATCCTCATCTTTTTACAAAACCTATTCGCCATTTATTAGGTATGATCTTATTACTTATGTTCAAGCTATCTTTTATTATGATTATCTTTTGAAAAAATTTAATAAGACAAATATTGCCCAAATCCTTAAAGTCTAGTCATCTTATAAGATACAACATT